TAAACAGAAGTATATTTTTAACAAGTTCTTTGAAAACATAATTAGACAGGGCCTACCAATTCCTTTATGTTGAAATTTTAAAAAGGATACTGTTATCATTGAACTGGATTTTCTTTTCTCTGTCAATATTGAGATATATTTCAAGAATACTTGTCTTATAAGCTTAGATCTTACAGCTATTTATAACTAGGGCATAGTCATAAGGTTGCTGATTTTAGTTAGTAGCTATTCACTTAACAGATATTTACTGAAAGACTATTATTTTCAGGAAAGGTCTAAGTATTGGCTAAGTAGCTGTGAACACAAACAATGTCTCCTTACTTGGGTCTTTTCTTGTACTGGGAGAAACTGATAACAAAGAAATAAGTATAAAATATGGCAGGTGATGATAAAAGCTACGAACAAAACTAAGGAGTAAGAATGGGATGGGATGCAGGTATAGAAGGGGTAGCCAAGAAAGGCTTTATTGAGGAAATAATATTTGAACAGAAAACGAAAGAAAGACAGGAAACAAGGCAAGTGTATATCTGGTACAGGAAAATTTCACATTGAAAAAATACCAACCGTGAAAGAAATGTGCTTTAAATTGATGGTATATTAGTTTCCATTGCTTCTGTAACAAATTATCACAAACTTAGTGGCTTAAACAATACAAATGTATTCTTTGACACTTTTGGAGACAGCAGTGTTGGCAGGACTGACTTTCTTTAGAGGCTCTAGGGGAGAATCTGTCCCATTGCTGTCTCTAGCTTCTGGAGTCTGTCCATATTCCTTAGTCCTTGGCCTTATCCTCCATTTTCAAAGTGGTAGTATAGTATCATTCAGTCTCTCTTTCTGACCCCAGCCCATGACCCTTCTGCCTCCCCCTTTAATACAGATCTCTATAATTACTTTGGACCCACCAGTAATATTCAGAATAACCTCCCCATTTTGAGACTCTTAATCACACCTGCAATGTCCCTTTGTCATGTAAGGTATTATTAGGACATGAACATCTTGGGTTGAGAGGGGATTATTCTGACTACCACAAATGGTTTGCAATATTGATTTTATTTTAAAATCACTGGGGAGCCTTAAAAAATTCTGATACCTGGTATACCCTTCAGAGCCAATAACATTTCTAGAGGTAGAACCCAGGGATCAGTGTCTTTTAAACCTCTCTAGGTTATTCCAGTGTGCACCCAAAGATTGAGAATCACTGGTTTAATTTTCTGTTGCAGTCTCACACCTACATCTAAATTTGTTCTACATATCTGAACATATTGAGGATATCCTCTTTGCAAAGTGATTATAATTCACATGGAAAACCTTCAGTCAATAGCCACAAAGACCCCAGTAGTTTTCACATTACTATCACATCCTGAGAAGAGTATCCTGGTTATGCAGAATACTACAGGGAAAGGAAGTAAAAGAAAGGAGACTCCTTGTAAAAGCAAGTTGTTTTTTACAAGTAGGGATGTTTCTTATCCATTTTATTCATGTAACTCAGCATTTTATTCATGTAACTCATGTTATATGCTAGACAAGGGATTTGAACCATATTCCGCACTCTCCTCCTTTTCCTATCACATTTTCTAAAGTTTCTTTGCAACTTCACTTTTAGCATTACTTCCTATGTGGGATTCCCTCTCCATTTATTCCGAGACTTTCATTTGTTCTTTTTTTTTTTGAAAGACAATTGGTCAACCATTCTGTGAAACATTCAAGGGTATTCTGGCCCTTGTGAAACCCTCAGGAAGTTGACTATAATGTCATTTGTCCCTTAGACTGAATTGACTTTCATTATTATTTTAACTTATTTAAAATCTCAGTTCATAAGTTTCTTTAAGCAGAGGGCATGAATTATATTTTCTATTCCTATTAAATAAGTGTTTTGTATATAGTTGGTGGTCAGCAAATAGTTAATGATGATTTGGAAGATTCCCCCTTGGCCTTGAAACTAGACATCAATTTTGTCAAGAAAGTTTTATTGTTCACACACAAAGCTGAGTTAAGACCACTGTTATGATACCACATCTCTGCAAGATGGTTTCACATTAGATTACATTTGTCTGTCTTATGTTAGTTTATTTGACAACTGAGTTTTGTTCATTGATAAGCCTAGTGCTATGTCATTCCTGTGGTAATGACAGATACATAAGAGCTATGCCAACCTAGATCCTCAAGTTGTTCCAGCGTACCCTGGCACTGCAACATGGCCATGCAGTATAAGTTACATATGTCAGAAGAGAAATGTATGTACATTTGAGGTATCTTCTTAATGCCTTTAATTAATGAAACTTTCTTCTAACTGAGATGAAACACTTTGGTAGATGAAGAAAATCTCAAGAATCTAATTATTAGTGATCTTGTTTTCAATATTTGGAGAAGTACTGTGAGTCATAGTAAACATGAATAATACGACCAACAGGTTGAAATCTCTCTACATAGTTTATTGTATATTTTACTTTTTTCTGATTTAGCCTATTATTGAAATATAGCTACATTGTTTTTATTGTAATAATTTAACAAATCTTTAAGAAATCTTTTACCTGAATTTATTAAAAAATACCTGTAAGTCTGCATTAAGAACATTCTATAAGACTCTGAAAATGGAATTGAAATAAACACAAAATGTGTAATATTTTAAGATCAGTTGCCTTCTGACATCATGACTCTTTTATATTCAGTGACTTAGACCTAAACTTTTTGCTCTGTAGAATGTTATTTAGAGAGAATGTTTACTGAGTTTCATATAAAGTTAATTTGTACTAAAATGACCATAAGCTTTAAAAAGACTATCAGTGTCTGTCTGCCTGTTCTACCTTATGACTACTTTTGGATTTTCAGTTTTCATAATTGATATTAATAATGATATTGATAAAGTAGACATCAACAGAAAGGTTACTGAAAGTCATAGAATTGGATTCTCTTAGAAAAGGCTAGCCAATCTTGCTTTCTGCTGTGATGATCTAGAAAGTGGCTCTTGTAAATAGCCTGGTTTTCAGTCACTGAGGGACTGCACATGAGGTTGAGGCAGACACCAGAATACCAACGTATTAATTCCAGTAAGAATGATAATGCCTTCACAAACCACAAATACTAGGGTTTGTATAACAAAGGCATAATCTCCTTATAGTCAAGTTACATGTGAAACCAAGAAATAATTAAAAGTTTCTTTATTAATTCATTCTGATAATCACTTCACAAAGTCCTTAAATATTTCAAGTCTGTTGTGTCCACAAATTCTTCATATGGAAATCAGAAGTTTGCTTGCAGAACATGGAATCAGAACAGTGGGAATTAAATATCTCTAGTGTTCAGGGGTAATTACATACAGCAATATATCAATTTGGTGATCTGTATGGTATGCCAATGCATAGAACTATTCTGTTAATTACAGCCACTCATATTGTTCCTATTACTTAAAATATCTTGGGAAAAGACCTTGGTAATGGAATTGAAAATAGTTAAAAAATTGAAATTGAAATATGATGGCCTAATCTACTTCTCCTTTAGATAGTGCTCACATGGTAGCTGCTAGTATTTCTTCCTCTTTATTTGTTTCTTCAGCTGATCAACACCCCTATTAACATGTCTTTTTAAACAGTTGCTGACACATTTGATCAGTTTATTGTTAAATATTGTTGATCAGGAAGCGTTTCTCTAATGGGAGACTTTTTATTTTGATTTTACAGTTAAACCCTTAGAAGGCAATCTGTTTTTCTCATTTTGGGTTTTTTTATTTGTTTGTTTCTTGAGGGTGGGTGGGCCACACTGTAGTTTTAAATAATAGTATTACTCAATAGAGATTGGAAGCATTTTTGGGGAAGAACACATTTTAAGTTTAAAAATCAGTAATACATTTGAAAGAAGTGGTGTGGCAGTTAGTAAATACTTTCCTGCCTCCTATCTCACTGGCCTAGAATAAGAATGAATGATTCTGGAAACTCTTTGTTGAACAAAAAATATAACCTTTTCAAGGTCAAATCAAGTTGTAAATACTACAAGAGAGTTTTTTTTAATTAAACATTTTTACTTGATTTTATTTCTATGTAAAACTTTCAGTGAAAGGAAAAATAACTTTCTATTTAAAATATTTGCAACATATTTTTAAACTCTGGTAATATTCTGAATCAGACTCAAGTACAAAGAAAATGTTTTATTCTTATTTAATTATGTAAGCCAATTAGTTCATCAAAACAAAATATTCTTCTTTGGATTTTCTTAAAATTTAAATATTCTAAAGAGTAAATAAATCTAAGATTTATTCACATCTAAATCATTCATAGAGTTGTAAAAATAAAATAGAAATTTTTTATATTCTTACCTTTTTAACTACCTTGCAGCTTTGCTTTTGTAACTAAATGACAAAATTGGGTGACTTTGGGAGGTGAGGGAAAGAAAATTCTTAACTGTTTCAAGATTAACAACGATCATAAAATTAATTAAATCCTTAGTAAGCCTCAAATATCAAACTTTTTGTCAGTTGTTCTAAGGTTTGCTTATAATGAATATTTCTATATTTCACAATAATCTACTTTTGATAAAATGCAAATTTGTTTGAATGGCACTCATTTACTTACAGAGTTTATTTTTGGATGAAAAAAATTTAGTTACTTCTCTTCTTTTAAACTGCCAACAGTATTTGCCATTCGTAGATGTTCTGTCTTCAATAATGTCTACCAGACTGTAAAGCTAGATGGGTATTTTTCTTTCCTTTAAAATGAAATGGTCTTTCATTATGCAGTGTTCTTAGGTGAATTCTCTTGTTTAAGAAGCCAGAATACAAGAGAGTGCTATATTAGTGTATTATTCTCACAACAAACAAGCACTGTTCTGTTGCTACCTGCTTGGCCATTGTTTCTGATTGTGCGTGCTTTGCAGTGGTATTTGGATGGTTTCCTGCTCTCTGCTAGCACAAAAAGGCATTTCTGTTACAATGGCCCCTAACCACACAATGACGGCATTAAGGATTTATGTGGAGGTTTCATTATTTTCTCCTCTTTTGTTCCTTCCAGGATGTCTTCCAAGCGACCAGCCTCTCCGTATGGGGAAGCAGATGGAGAGGTAGCCATGGTGACAAGCAGACAGAAAGTGGAAGAAGAGGAGAGTGACGGGCTCCCAGCCTTTCACCTTCCCTTGCATGTGAGTTTTCCCAACAAGCCTCACTCTGAGGAATTTCAGCCAGTTTCTCTGCTGACGCAAGAGACTTGTGGCCATAGGACTCCCACTTCTCAGCACAATACAATGGTAGGTTTCTCATAGTCTATTGTGCCGACACTCAGTTTTGACCAGTCTACTCTTCTGATACTTTGGCTTCAGTCCTTTGCTTTATGCTTATCATCTACTTAATAACCATATATAAGATTCAACTCTGACATCTTAGAATTCTTTATAAGTAAATTTGTTTCAATAGGGAGTCTGGAATATACAATTTTTTGTTGTTGTTTTTTAAAGAATTCCTGCTTCTGAGGCAATTTAAAGAAGAAGACATGCAAAACATGAGAATAATGTAAAAGTAATACATTTAAATTAGTGTGAAAGTTCAATGTCATAGTCTTTATAAAAGGGTTTTTTTTCAGAAAGGGTTACGTGAGCATAGTTTGAACATTTCAACCATGATAAATCAGTGTTTTTCCATTTTTTGTTTTGCCTAGATTGGATTACAGAATTCCTTACAATACTTGAAATTTTGTGGAAGAATATATTTCATAGAGACCCTAGTTTCCTAATATGACTGCAGCAATTCTTAAGTCAGTCTCATTCACACTGTTGTTCTGTTATTTAAGTAATTCCCTGTTGCATTCTAGTCTAAGATATGCAACTCAGGATAACTCCTCTGACCCTTTATCCTAGTGTCTGGATCACTGCAGATGATTAGGAAACTGGGACTTTTTGACCAAGAAGAGAGAAGCCATCATAGCCTCTTTGGCTAAAATGTAAACAGCACATAACAAACACAAATAAGACATTGTGGTCCTTCTTAACAGCTTAAATATATAAACTTATCATGTTAACAACGTAGCAGGCCACTTTGCTCCCAGTAAACCCACCCTCACCTTTTTAACACGGCTAGGTAGGTGGATGGCACGTTTTTGTGGCCTCTCTTCCTTTTCTAATTTAAGGATGACAGTGCTACTAATTTGAACATGATTACAACAACAGAAATATGTTTTATTTACATTCTCATACCTTTAAGGACAGGTATATCTGATCCTGATATATCTTTGTTTTATTTCTCCAAGGAAATTCTTGTACATCATTAGTATATTTAGTGCTGAAATATGTTCACTTGTCCATGCTATTGAATTACTGGGTATGAAATTAAATCAACAAGAAGAATCAGCCATCTTCTGATAGCTGTGCAGTAGACACAATATTTAGTTTTCACATTATAATTAAATATTCCTATTTAACATTTTGGCCTCATAGGCCAAAATTTATTTGGGCATTTGACTGTGAGCTGAGATTCTCCCACCACAAATAATGTTTTTGCTCATTCATGTATAGAACTTACATAGAAGTAGTGTTTTAAGCATGTCTTAATAATATTATAGCTCATTTATTATTCCAATAATTCAGTGAGGTATTATTACTAATTCTATTTTACAGATGAGAAAACTGAGGTACAAAGAGGTTAAATAACTTGCTCACATCACAACTGATACGTAATAGAAATAGGATTTACCCAAGTCATCTGTCTTTGAATCCATGCTTACAAACATGGAAACTGTTTCTTCACATGAGCACAGGTGTATTTTGTATTCTGATTATCTAGTACTTGGCAAGTTAAATCATACCACCTAGTATTACTCCTCTCCTTTCTGCTATGAACTTATATTAGTTATGTGCAATGATAAAACTTTTTGTTTTCTTCTCAAAAAGGTAAAACTAGGAAAACAAAGGAGGTGGGGAGTAGTAGTACACAGGTCAAACAAAGTAATGAAGTCAGACACTCTGTTAGGCATTGCATTACCCCTAATTCCCTTTCCCTCAATATTTTGACCACTATCTTCTCTCAAAGAGCATCTAATTGGGAATGTTTCTGGATTGGTTTGCCTGTGATAAACACAAACATACAAATTTGAAAGGATGAATGTAAATAGTTATGACTAGAAAGATACCAAAAAGAAAAAGGGGAGATTATTTTAAGTACCGCCAAGATGGGCCTGAGAAAGTATTAAATTACATAATTTAGTTGGCATTAGGGGATGCTGTGATGGAAACAGTGCAAATGAAACTATTCCATTTTTAATGGAGAATTTGCTCTAACTAAAAAAACTATGAGCTGCCTGTTTTATACCAAATTTTACATTGGGCACTATGGAAATAAATTTGAATAAAACATAATCCTCTTCCTTAAAGAACTCCATCTAAAGTAGATGTTCTAAGCTGGGGGTCTATAGATCTCCTACAAGTGAATACAGAATTCTGTAGATATGAGCTTATCAGAGTAGCAAACATTATGATTTCCATGCATTCTTAAGTAGATCTGGGACCCCCCAAAAGGTTAAGGTCTGTCTTTCTAGAAGTTAATACAGTTTGGATACAAATGCTTCTCCTTAATTTTAGTGACATCAGCACTTATACTTTCTCTTACTAAACATTTAATTGGTTTCTAAATTTATTTTTACCTCACATGTTTCTTGATTCTAGCTGCTTTTCATTTCTTGTGTAGATAATTAGAAGAGTCACTCTATGATTTCAAATTTTCAGGCTTTCTTTCCAAACTTTCTTTCAACTTTCAGCATACTTGTTTCCCTGAGAGATGACTTGGACTGTTTACCTCATTTTTGAAACTATGTGCCCGGTTGCTTACAGGATTTAGCCCCAGACTCCTTATCTTAGTAAAAAACTCTATATAGACTAGCATCAAGCTATGACTTTGATCTCCTAACATATTGTTCTTCAGAACCAATGCTCTGGTCATGCCAAGCTTTTCATACATGTTCATAAATATACCTGATAATCTTTGAGTGACACAGTTTTATTTTTTCTGCCTGGAAAACTTTCACTTCATATGTGAACTTCTTGGTGAATTATGTTTCTCCCACAAGACTGAATATAAAAATTTCCTCTTCTTAGATGTTTTCACTGACTGCCCAAGGCAGAATGACTACTGCTTTATTCTTTTATCCATGACACTTATTTATATTTTCTCTCATGGTCCTCATAGTAAATATTCATTTACTTTTCTTTCTTTCCATATACTGTATTTCTTTTTGAAGACATAGTTGTGTGTGTGTGTGTGTGTGTGTGTGTGTGTGTGTGTGTGTGTGTGTGTGTATTTTTTTCTGGAAACTAGCATACAATAGATACTCAACTTATAATTATTCACTAAACGGCTGAGTGTCTTTGGATGAGTAAATACTTAATATGTTTTAGGCAAAGTTGTTGAAGACACTAAATTATAGTGAATATATTTATTATCTAGCAATTTTAGAACTAAGGTAGAATTTACTAGTATAGTATGTTCAGAAACCAGAAATCATGATATATTAAGCTAATAAGATATATGTTACTCATTTGTCAAAGTTATTGAATATATTTATAGTATTATTATCCAACATGAATAGTTTCTCTTTTTTTTCTGGCTACTAGGCTGGCCGTTGTCATAGTCACACAATAGGTCCTTTTATTTCAGTACAGAAAGTCTCTCTCTCTCTCTTTCTCTCTTTTTCTATTCCATATCTTTGAAAACAGAGAATGTTTCATAGTCTTTATATTATGGAGTTCAATTTAAGAAAAAAAATCAAATTTCATTGCCCATTTATGTGTGACATTCATGCTTCATTCTTAAATAAAGCAGAGAGATACTGGGAGGTGTGTAGTTTGTATTGCCCGATTAGATTAGAGACAAAGTGAAACTGTTGAGTGATCCTTGCAATGCTGACTTAAGTTATAGAGTGATAATTTCAGTATAAAATTAGTTTGGAAATTATTTCTTGAAATAAAAGTTCTATGCACTTAATTACTATTGCCCTATACAGATTTTGGGGAATCAGGATGCCTTGTTCACATTCAAGGTATGCAGGTGTTAAGGTTTGGAATGGAGTCAGATAAGGATGTAATTCCTCCTTTCTGAAATTGTGTTTATTGCTTTAGTATTTTGGAGAAGTAAACTAAGTGCCTAACTAACTAAGAGCAACTTCCAGACAGCTATAACTGATATAAATACTAAAAGTTCACTTATTCTTGGAAGATTTTACTCAGTGTTCAGAGTGCACACTGTATAACAGATGAACTTTCTTAAGTATATCATATACATATATTTATAAAGTACTATCAGATTTCTAATCAACATAAGATACGGAGATTGTTATAAGTTTATGAAAAAGACTGATTTTGTTGCTCCCTTCTGAAGCTTTAATAATCCTGCCAAGCTATTAATAGCAAAATTTGATTCCCACCTAATCTTCAAAAAGTTAAAAGCAATGGGAAATTCTGATTCTGACAAGAAGGGAAAGGCAGTCTTTGTTTATTCTTTTTTTTTTTTTTTTTTGAGTTGGAGTCTCACTCTGTCGCCCAGACTGGAGTGCATTGGCCGCTCCCGGCCACTGCAGTCCGGCGATCCTTCCGCCTCAGCCTTCTGAGTAGCCGGAATTACAGGCAAGCACTACCATGTCTGGCTGATTTTTTGATTTATTGTAGAGATGAGGTCTCACCAAGTTGCCTAGGCGGGTCTCGAACCCGCGGGCTCAGGCAATCCACTCACCTCAGTCTCCCAAAGTGCGGTATTACAGGCTGAGCCACCAAACCCGGCTTGTTTATTCTTATTGATGGTCAAATTTCCTCTTGTCTTTTTGTCGTTGATTGTCTTTTTTTTTTTTTTTATCAAGACTCTGGAAGCTATCGAGTCAAAATTTCAGGGACAAGCAAGAATCACTATAATTTCTGACTCCTTTTTAATAATAGTTCTGATACAGATGGATTTATTTGATGATGGAAAAGCCTATCTTGAATATGTCCTTGTGTCAATTAACATGAGTGGTTTTGGACCCCAAAAGAGGATAGAGTAAGTCTGAAAAGAAATCAAGTAGCAGCATCAGGAGCAGCTAGGGAACTCTATGGTGGCCATTTTGATGCTCATTTTTCTGTCTGGCTACATGCTACTTCTGTTGGTTAGATTGTTGTTCCTGTGTCAA